TGCGGTCGACTATGTGGGAGTTCAGCAACATAGCCATTATGTTAATGGCTGGTCCTGAGAAATTTCTCACTTTCTCTCTCTCTCTCTCTCTGGTGAGAGCACATATACAATGGCAAAAATCTTAAAAAAAAAAAAAAAAGGTGTGGAGTTGTAATTGTGATAAAGAGCTGGTGCACCAGCAACTCTCAGAACTCTTAGAAAATCTCAGACAAGGACTCAAGTGTGGTTGAGCTAGTTGGTGCATGGGTCTTTCCTTCTTGCTGCCTTTTGAATGACTTGGGGAACCAGCCAAGCCCCTTCCTGAGCAAACTCTACTGAGAGCAACAGCAGCTGTTTACTGAGCACTCGCTGAGTGCCTGACACTGCGCATCCTCTGCATTTTACAGAGTTTTTCTCATGTAGTTCTCAGAAGTGGCCTTGCAGCCAGCATTACCCTTTGTCATGGGCTGACCTGTTCAAGTCCTAACCCCTACAACTATGGAATGTAACAGTATTTAGAGATAAGGTTTTTAAAGAAGTTAAAGTTAAAATGAGATCATTAGGGTGGGCCCAAATCCAGTATGACTGGCGTCCATATAAGAAACGGGAACTGGGACACAGAGATAGACTGAGGGAAGACATGGGGAGAAGACGGCCATCTGCAAAGCCAGGGCAAGAGGCCTCAGGAGAAGCGAGCCCTGCTGACACCTTGATCTTGAACTTCTCGCCTCCAGGATTAGGAGAAAAGAAATTTGCGTTGTTTCCGTCACTCAGTTGTGCTGTTGTGATGGTAGTCCTGACAAACTGCTACACCTTGCTTTACACCTGAGGAAAGCTAAGGATCAGAAAGGTTCTGAAACTTGCCGAAGTTCTCAGTTAGGGCTAGGTCGAGTTGATGACTGAATCCATATGGGCTCATTCCAGAGCTTGTGAGCATGCTGTTCTGGGTCTTGAGTGTTTCTATGTACAGCTGCATGAAACAGGTAACTGGTACCTGAACTTGGACTCAGGTCCGCTATGCCCACCCCATGCTCTTCTCCCTGCCATGCTGCTTTCTGTGGAGGCAAGACACCAAAAAGTACACGACCTTCTCTGGACAGAAATGGCAATCAGCAGTTGACTAAGTTAGGGGTTTAGTGAGTCTGGAAAGACTGGATTCTATTTGGGGCCTTCCTTCCCAGTTCTCCTCTCCCCATGAACTAAGGTAGAGGAAACTTCTTCTGCAAAGTAGTTTGTACCTTTTGAGCAGCAGGGTTAAAATTACCAGGACTGGGCCAGGTAACAGGTATTTAGTTTTGTACTTACACCGTTGCTGCCAGTTGAGAAGTTGGTGGTTCTTAATTGGTTGAGCAAATATTAGAATCCTGTGATGGGGCTGGCAGGTGGCATGGTGGTTAAAGCGCTGTCACATGGCTGGCCATGGTTCAAGTCTCAGACCTGGTGGCTTGCTTTCTCATTCTCCCTCTCTCTCTGTCTTTCTGTTTCTCTCTGGTCAAATGGAATAATAATAATAGTAAATAAATTTGAATAATTTTTTTTAAAAAAAGTTCTGATCCCTTACATATTCTACTCTAGAAAGTCCAAGACAGGAACTGAGTATTCCGAATCATTTGTTTTGTTCTTCTTAATCTTCCCTAGTGATTTTGATGTGTCCCATAAGATGGATAACCTGTGAAGTTGTGGAATGATTTATTTCTGTAGTGATTCCTCTATGTCTTAAAATGGTCACATCTAAGCAACGTAACTTGCATTCTAACTTTGATTACTCACAGGCTTTGGTGTTTTCCATGGTTCTTTAGACTTAGTCCTTTTCTGGGAATGGGAGGACATGATAGAGTCATTGTCCTGACAAAGACCTCTGGGTCCCCAGAGTTATTCTTGTGGTCCTTAGCAGGTGTGACTGCGAGAGAGCTCATTAGGTATGTACTACCCAATGTGTTTTTGAAATGTAGTCTTGCCAGGTCAGTTTGTTTTTGTTCACAGTTCGTTTTCCTCCTCTAGAGGGCCCCAGAGTTTAGAAACTGTTGGGGAGCTGAGCAGCCCAGCTTGTGCCTTTATTAGACAAGGAAACTAGCCAATATGATTTGAGCTTGCATTTGTTGGAAGAACTACTGTTATTTTCTTTTCTTTCCTAGTGCTTTTTTTTTTAAAACAAAACAAAACAAAACACACACAAAAAACCACTTAATCGCTTTCCAAAAGATGAAGAACAGGATAGCAGCAAGTGATACTAGCACACAAAGTAGGAGGCAAGAATGTGGCTGAGAACCCAGATCTTTCTTGTTTGCTTTGTTTGGTTTATAAGCCAGAGGTTGCATGCGCTCTCTGGAATGAGACAAAGCAGGAGAGGGAGAAAGCATGCCCCAAGTGAGGCATGGTCACGCCAGAATCTCTTCTCCATTTCTCCATCCTGTTGGGATCTGGGGCATGTGTACTCATGTGCCTGATGTGTTTTTCAAGCTGCAGAGGCCAGGATTTGAATCATGTGGTTGGCCATGTGGGTTCTGGCTCCCTTAACCACTTGGCCCTGGGACAGGCCTTGAGAACACAGATCTTTAAAGAAAGGATCTCTAAAATTGTTTATATATACTTATCAGTAAAAAGACCGAGTTTATATCTTCAATATATGGATAATTATGTATAAACTAGGTACACATACAATTTCATGAATACATGGTATTCCTCATAAAATATACTCTCCAAAGAGTACAGCTGAAGTTCTAATGTTTTCTTTCTGTACTTCAGTGAGGGTGACTTTTGAAGCCATTGCTCTAGAAAATGCTTTTTTT